CATCTTGCTCTTTTTAAAAAAAGTATTTTTATTTTTTACTGGTTTGTGTACAAAATTTGTATACATTTTACTTCACACATTCATCCATTCATTCATATTGCATTTAATATCATCATTCACATACAGTGTGTTTTATAAAATTAATCACCATTGATATATGTCCTCTATTATCAGTCTTTTCAAGTCCCCACTAGATCTTTCCTAATTCCTTCCACCTCTCTCTGCACCCACAAAACTCTGCAACCCTGCCCCATAATTTCCTTCCATCTTCATCCTTCATCCTCATCTTCATCTTAATCCTCAGCCCCCTACTCTTTTTGGACTTCTGAACACATCTTGCTAGTTATATATATATTTTTACAATAATGGACTTATGCAGTATTTGTCTTTATGAAACTGAATTCATTCCCTCAGCATAATGCTCTCCAGCTTCTTCCATGTTGTATAGTATTTTTCAACATCATTGTTGCTGAGTGTTGCATAGTATTCTATCATGGGAATGTACCACAATTTCTCAATCTATTTTTTGGTTGATGGACATTTGAGTTGGTTCCATTTTCTTGCTAATGTGAATAATACTGCTAGGATCATATGTGTACAAATATTCACACTTAAATAGCTGGGTCATATGGAATGTCTGTATTCAGCTTTTTGAGGAAACACCAAACTGCCTTGCAGAGTAGTTTTTCAATTTTCCAGTGTGCCCAGCAGTGAATGAGAGTTCTAATCTCATCATAACATCTCCAACATTTATTGCTTGCTATAAACTTGGCCTTGTAAACTTTGCCACTGCAACTGGAGTGGGGTGGCATCTCATTGTGGTTTTTTTATTTGCATCTCTCTTATGCCAGTGATTTTGAGCAATCTTCAAGTATTTGTTGGCCATCCAAACGTCTTACTTTGTGAAAAGTCTTTCCATGTCTTTTGCCGATTTTGTAATTGGGTTATCAGTCTTTTTTTTTGTGGGGGCCCTGTAGTATTTTGTAAACTTTCATTGTAACACCCTTGTCTAAGATGAAATTGTCAATTTTTTTCCCCAGACAGTAGGCTTTCTTTTCATCCTTCTTGTTGTTGTTGTTATGTGCTGTTGAGTCGTTTGCGACTCATAGTGACCCTATGTACAACAGCCCTAAACTCTGCTCTGTCCTGTGCCAATTGCACTGTCTCCAATACACCTATCCCGATTACCCCAGTCACTGAATTAATCCACCTCATAAAGGGCCTTCCTCTCCTGCGCTGTTGCTTTACCCTAAGAAACATGATTTTCCTCTCCGAGGACTGGTCCCTCCTTACAACATGTCCAAAGTATGTTAGACGGAGCCTCAGAATCCTTGCCTACAGGGAGCCGCCTGGTTTAACCCTTTCCAGGATGAATCTATTTGTTTTCCTAGAAGCCCATGGTACCCTCAATACTCTTCTCCAGCACAACAGCTCAAAGGCATCAATTCTCCTTCTATCCTCCTTGGTCACTGTCCAACTCTCTGATGCATAGCAAGTGATAGCAAAAACCATGGCCTGTATCAGGCACACCTTAGTCTCCAGAGAGACACCACTGCTTTTCAGTACTTTGGAGAGGTCCCTAACCGCAGACTTTCCCATGGCAATATGTCTTTTAATTTCTTGGCTGCTGGTGCTAAGAGTGTTGACTGTGGAGCCAAGCAAACTAAAGCTGTGAACAATCTCATTCTCTTCACCATCCATCCTGATGCTGCCAATTGGTCCAGTGTTAGGAAAAGTTTTTTAATGCATACAAGGACTTGATTTGTAGAAAGTCCATTAATTGAAGTTATCTTCTCTTTTTTTATATTTCTAGCTATATTTTTCAGCTTTGCTTTTTTCCTTTTTCCTTTTTTTTTTTTTACCATAGGGTAATTTACAGCTTCAGTTTGCTTGGCTCTACAATCAACACTCTTGGCACCAGCAGCCAGAAAATGAAAAGATGAATTGCATTGGGGAAAATCTGCTGTCAGAGACCTCTCCAAAGTATTGAAGAGCTATGAAGTCAGTCTGGAGACTAAAGTGCACCTGATACAGGCCTTGGTCTTTACAATTACTTGGAAAGTTGGACAATATCTAGGGATGATAGAAGGAGAATTGAAGCATTTGAGCTATGGTGCTGAAGAAGAGTGTTGAATATACCATGGACTGCTAAGAAAACAAACAAGTTCATCCTAGAGAGTGTGAAGCCAGGCTGCATCTTGGAGGCAAGGATTCTGAAGCTTTATCTGACATACTTTGGACATGTTGCAAGGCGGGATCAGTTCTAGGAGAGAGACGTCATGCTTGGGAGGATGGAGGGACAGTGCAAGAGAGGGAGACTCTGAATGAGATGGATTAACTCAGTGACTAGGGGATACCTAGTGGTATCAGAGACAACAAGATCAGCACAGGATAGAGCAGAGTTTAAGGCTGTTGTACATGGGGTTGCTATGAGTCGCAGGCAACTTGAGGCACATAACAACAACAACAGGCCTTCTATGTTTGGCCTCATTTTATCTCTTTTGATCTTTAGGGTTTTGAGCTTTACTCTCAGGTTTCTGATGCACCTTGAGTTGTTTTTTGTGTATGGTGTGGCATGTGGATCCTGCTTCTGGAAGTTGTCGTTATGTGCACTTGAGTAGCCTGTGACACATAATGACCCTATGCACAACAGCCCTAACCCCTGCTCTATCTTGTACCAATCTCACTGTTTCCAGCACACCTACCTTTATTACCCCAGTTACTGAATCAATCCAACTCATAGAGGGCCTTCCTCTCCTGCACTTTCCCTCCACCCTCCCAAGCATGATGTCCCTCTCCAAGGACTAGTCCCTCCTTTCAACATGTCAAAAGTATGGCAGACAAAGCTTCAGAATCCTTGCCTCCAAGGAGCAGCCTGGTTTAACCCTATCCAGGATGATCTGTTCATTTTCTTAGCAGTCCATGGTATATTCAATACTCTTCTCCAACACCACAGCTCAAAGGCATCAATTCTCCTTCTATCATCCCTAGTCATTGTCCAGCTCTCTGATGCATAAAATTGCAAAGACCATGGCCTGTATCAGGCACATCTTAGTGTCCAGAGTGACCTCATTGCTCTTCAGTACTTTGGAGAGGTCTATGACAGCAGAGTGTCCCATCACGATATATCTTTTAAAGCCAATCTCCTGGTGCCAAGAGTGTTGATGGTGGAGCCAAGCAAGCTAAGTCTGTGAACAATCTCAATCTCTTTACCATCTATCATGATGCTGCCAATTGGCCCAGTGGTGAGAATCTTTGTTTTCTTGATATTGAGCCTCAATCCATATTGGAGGCTGCAATACTTGACCCTCTACGGCAAGCACTTCAGGTCCCCCTCAGTTTCAGCAAGCAGGGTTGTGTCATCTGTGTAAGGCAGATTGTTGATGAATCTTCCTCCAATCCTGATGCCACAGTTCTCCTCATACAACCCAGCCTCCCAGATAATTTGTTCTGCATATATATTTAAAGGTATGGAGATAGGACACATCCCTGGCATACATCCTTCCCAATTTTGAAACATACAGTGTTTCCTTACTCTGTTCTGATGACTGCCTCCTGGTGCAAGTATAGGTTTCACATTAGCGTGATCAAGTGTTCTGGGATTCACATTTTTCTCAGAGTTAGGCACAGTTTGCAGTCAAACACCTTTGTATCATCAATGAAACACAGATAGACATTCCTCTGGTATTCCCTGCTTTCAGCCAAGATCCATCTAACATTAACTACAATATTCCTAGTACTATAACCCCTTCTGCACTTCTGGCAGTCCTCTGTTGCTGTGCTATTCCAGTTGTTTTCGGGTAATCTGCAGCAGAATCTTGCTTGCATGTAATATTAATGATATTGTTTAATAATTTCCATACTCTGTTGGATCACTTTTCTTTGGAATGGGAACAAATTTGTTAAAGAGGCTATCACTTCCCCTATTTGGTTGATTTTGTTTCCTTCTTAAATATCAATTGATGATAAGTAGATGGGTTGATTACTGGGTTCTCAATTCTGTTCCACTGGTCTGTGTGTCTGTCATTGTACCAGTACCATGCTGTTTTAGTTATTATGACTGTAATACAGTTTCAGATTAAGAGGTGTTACACCTCCCACTTCATTTTTGTTTTTCAGAAGTGCTTTGCTTGTTTGAATAAGTTCTGAATCTTACTTCTGAATCCAGCTTGAATTTCTTGTAGTTTCTGTCAGTTTACTGTCAAAGCCAATTAAAAATAATCTTCAGCAAGATTTGTTTGATAGCAATGATATTGAAAAAGACATAAAACTAGGAAAGGTGGAGGGTCAGAGAAAGAGAAGGTGAACCTCAACAAGAAGGATTGTCACAGTGATGATAATAATGGGCTCGATCATATTGGAACTTGTGAAGATGGTGTATGATAGATAGGATCTGCTGTTCATAGAGTTTGTATAAACTATAGTTGACTTGATAGTGTAATAACAGCAAGCCTTATATCACTCAGATGACTGAAACAACAAAAATACCTTATAGATAGTTTTGGGGAGTACAATGGGGTGGGATGAATTTCTTCAAGAACTCAAGGAAAATGTAGCTACTAACAAACAGCTTAAGTTTTATCAGAACACAGATCAAATCATTATTGGATTCATTCTCTGAAACAATCTCAAATATGATTGTACCAGAAGTATGATAAACGGACGTAATTGTGAAAATCTTCACTAGGAAACAAGAATATTTGCTTTAAAAATATGTGGAAAAAACCTTTTTGTCACAGTGAAGAGTGTTCTTATAAATATGCTAAGTTCTTGCCACTGAGAAAAGTGCAGAACACACCACCTTATTTAATTAATGTCTTAAATGAGCAATAAACTATGTGCTGTGAGGACATGGAACAGAGAGAGTAAAGATCACAAATTGAGATGCTAAATAAGTTATCACTGTGAATTGAAGTCAGATAGGAGAAGAGTGTGGACATTGAACCAGAGAAATCAGAGCTGTAAACTATTTCTTTTCCATCACAACTGTTTCTTTTCAGGGTAACATATTTTCTGGAGCCATATTCATCAAGCTGGCCTTGGGATTGGACCTTTACCTGGCAATCTTTATCCTTTTAGCTATCACAGCTCTTTACACAGTCACTGGTGAGTTCATTGTATGCTTCTTTTAATGCTGCCTTCTGCTGATCTCACTAACTTTTATTAGGAACATAAGCATTGTTGCCACCCAGATATAGACATTATTCTATTTCCACCCACTATGATAGTCAGAGACAGGCCCAGAACCAAGACTAGAACCAAGAAAAAGAGAAGACTCAATATTATTATACGTGAGCACTGTGATTAATGATAGTGAAAAATGGCGAAATTTGTGATCTGCTTTAGCTGTGTGTACATACCATATTGAGATCTGATAGACAATAAACATACAAGGATCCAGGATGAAACTCACACATGAGATTGGATAATGTAAGGTGAGTCCCTAGCATAGTGGTGGGTTATGAGTGGCAGAATCAGAGAGAAGAATTGGGGTAGTGGATGGGTTGTGGGGGAAAGATATGTAGCAACAATTCTAGCTGTTTATTCCAAGCCAGACACATTGGGGTAGTGTCAATTTTAGACAAACCATAGTGGAAAAAATTATCACCTGTGCCTCTGCCAAATGATAAGCAGGATGTTCTAGTGCCTGTATCCAACACTTGTTCAGCTGCATTTTCTACTCAGGCAGTTGCACATGCACTAAAATTCATTGAGTCACTCACCATCAATCTGTGCATGCAAAGAGGTATAATTCTCCAGGACATCCCATATTTTAGGCCATGAAGCAAGCCTTATTCCATAACTTAAAAACAGAATAGCACAAAGATTTTTCAATGACACTCTAAAACTAGAAATTAGTCACAGAAAGGACAAGAAAAAAAAAATAAATATGAAGAATCAATAATATCTAACTTAATAGTTTTTGAGTAGTTGTTGTGTACTGTAGAGTCAGAATTGACCCATAACTGACCTGCCTGTAGGTTTTCAGAAACAGTTAATTTCTTGGGAAGAGATTGCTCATCCTTCTCCTGTGGAATAGCTAGTGGATTTGGACCATGTGCCTTCAGGATTGCAATGCAGCTTCTTGCCACTAGACTACCAGAGCTCACTTAAAAGGAAATTTAGAAATTCTTAGAATTCCATGAAAAGAAAAACACAATATAGCCAAACCTTTGGGTAACAGCTAAAACAGTGCTTAGAGGAAAATTCATAGCAGCAGATGCACACATTAAAAAATAAGAAATTTCTGTAACTGATAATTTACCTGACAACTTGAACAAATGGAAAATGAGTAACAGAAGAAGAGAATAGCTTCCAGAATAAAGACCAGAGTGGAAATAAAACAAATAAAAAATGGATAAAAGTTCACAAGATTAAGAGTCAATTCTTTGAAAGGATCAATAAAATTGATAAACCATTGATCAAAATGACAATAATGAGAAAATGTAAAGAACTAAAATAAAGAATGATATGGATGATATTACAATAGAAATAAGAGAAAGTAAGAGAAAGAGGATTTTAAAAAAATATTTTATTGGCTTGCATACGTATATTTGTTTACTTTGTGTTTCATTCAAGTACATTGTTTATACAATTTTTCATTTACATTGTGTTTCATATAATCATTCATATACATTGTATTTAATATAATTAATTACTATTAATCTATGCCTATTATTAGTCTTCTGAGTCCTTATTGAATCTTTCCTCTTTCTTCACCTCGTCCACCCACTAAACTCTGCTATCCCACAGATTTCCACTTTTTCTTCTTTTTCAATCCTCTGTCACTTTCTGGATATATTTATACACATTTTACTAGTCATTTTCCTACTTTTACAATAATGATCTTATGCAGTATTTGTCCATATGGGTCAGAATTAGTTCACTCAGAATAACTTTCTCCAAAATGTCCTATGTTATACAATATTTAAGAAATATTTGTTCCTCAGTGCTGCTAAGTATACTGTTGTATGAACATACCCCAATTTTTCAATCCGTTTTTTGGTTGATAAGCATTTGGATTATTTCTGATTTCTTGCTATTGTGAATATTACTGCTATGAACATTGGTGTAAAAAATACCTCCATTTGTGTCTTACTTCCATTTTCCTCAGGGTATATTATATTCCTAGCAGTGGAATAGATGGGCCATATGGGATTTGTATGTTCATCCATTTGAGGAACCAACAAGCTGTCTTCCAGACTGGTTGTACCATTTTACAATCCCACCAAGAGTGTGTGAGTGCTCTTATCTTTCCACATCCTTTCTAACATTTATTGTTTGCTGTGTTTATGTTAAACTTTGCTACTGCTACTGTGTTGAGATGGTATCTCATTGTAGTTTGATTTACATCTGTCTGATTGTCAGTGATTTTGAGTGTTTCTTCACGTGTTTGTTGGCCATCTGAATATTTTCCTCTGTGAAAAGTATTTTCATGCCTTTTGCATATTTTGTGATTGTGTTATCAGTCTTTTTCTTTTGGAGGTCCTGTAGTGTTCTGTAAACTTTTGTTATGAGATTCCTGTCTGAGACAGCATTGCTAAATATTTTTCTCCAGTCTATAGAATTTCTTTTCATCTGACTGGAAAAAGTTTTGATGTACACAGAGATTAATCTTTAGAAGGTCCCATTCATTGATGTTATCTTCTCCTGGCTTTTCATTTCTGACTATATTTGCCAGCCTACTTATACCATTGGCTTGGTCTTCTCAGTTTGGTCTCATTTTGTCTCTCATGATTTGTATTACTGTAGGGTTTACCACTAGATCTCTGATCCACCTTGAGTTGGTTTTTGTGTATGGTGTGAGATATGAATCCTGCTTCTACTTTCTAGGTGTAGAAGTCCAGTTTTGCCAGTACCATTTGTTGAGGAGGTTGTAATTTCTCCATTTGGTAGTTTTGTTTCATTGTTGAATATCAGTCGACCATAGATTGTTTTGTCGTTGCTGTTATGTGCCGTTGAGTTGCTTGCGACTAATAGTAAACCTATGTAAAGAGCCCTAAATGCTGCTCTATCCTGTGCTTACCTTACTGTCTCTGACACATTCATTTCCACCACCCCAATTACAGAATCGATCCATGTCATCGAGGGTCTTTCTCTCTTGAGCTCTCCCTCCACTCTCCCAAACATGATGTCCCTCTCCAAGGACCAGTCCCTCCAAGGACCAGTACCTCCTTGCAACATGCCCAAAGTACGTCAGACAAAGCTTCAGAATCATTGACTCCAATGAGTATTCTGGCTTCACCCTCTCCAGGACAAACCTGTTGGTTCTCCTAGCAGCCCATTCAACTCTTCTCCAGCATAGCAGCTCAAAGGCATCAATTATCTTTATCATCCCTAGTTACTGTCCAACTCTCTGATGGATAGCATGTAATTCGAAGACTATAGCCTAGAACAGGAGCAACTTAGTCTCTAGCTTGACATCATCGCTCTTCAGTACTCTTGAGAGGGTCACTCACAGCTGAATTCTCTTGATTTCCTGGCTACTGTTACCAAGAGTATTGACTGTGGAGCCAAGTAAACGAAAACTGTTAACTATCTCAATCTCCACCGTCCATACTAATGCTGCCATACTGATGATCCCTATTGAAGGCTGCAGTCCTTGACCTTCTGCAGCAAGTGCTTCAGGTCCTCCTCAGTTTCAGCAAGCAGGGTTGTGGCATCTACATAACACAGGTTGTTGATGACTCTTCCACCAATCCTGATGCCACATTCTTCCTTATACAGCCCAGCATCTCGGATGATCTGTTCTGCATATAGATTGAAAAAGTATGGAGACAAAATACATCCCTGATGAACCCCCTTCTTTATTTTGAACCATGTAGTGTCTCCTTGCTCTGTTCTGACGACTGTCTCTTGGTCCAAGTATAGGTTTCCCATAAGCACAATCAAATGATCTGGGACTCCCATTCTTCTTAGAGTCAGCCATAGCTTGTTGTGATCCACATAGTCAAAAGCCTTTGCATAGTCTATGAAGCACAGATAGACATTCCTTTGGTATTCTTTGCTTTTTGCCAAGATACATCTAACATTAGCTATAATATCCCTAGTATCATGACCTCTTCTAAATCCAGCCTGCACATCTGGCAGTACTCTATTGACATATTGCTCCAACCGTTTTTGTAGATGGGATATTTTCTAGGTTCTAGATTCTATGCCATTGGTCTGTCTGTCATTGTACCAGAATCATGCTTTTTTGATTATTACCACTGTGTAGTAGATTTTGAGATCAGGAGGTGCTACGCCTCTCCCTTTATTTTTGTTTTTCAGAAATCCTTTGCTTTGTTCAGGTGTCTTTCTTTTGTAAATAAATGTGTTAATAACCTTTTCTATCTCTTTGTAAAACGAGCTGGATCCTACTGGGATTGCATTAAACATGTAGATTGCTTTTGATAGCATTCTTTTTACTATGCTGAATAGTCCTATCGTTGATCAGGCAGTATTTTTCCATTTTGATCATTATTTCTGGTAGTAATGTTTTGTAGTTTTCCTTATAGAGGTCTTCTGTGTTTCTAGTTAGGCTTATTCCCGAGTATCTCAATTTGTAGTTGGCTGTTATAAATGGTATTTGCTTTTTTCTCATGTTTTCTTTGTTACTATAGAGGAATCCCACTGATTTTTGTATATTGTTTTTATATCCTGCCACTTTACTAAATTGGTCTAACAGTTTTTTTGTTGAGTATTTGGGTTTTTCTGGGTATGTCTAAAGAGTAGTAAACAGGACTTGGGAGCACAGGGCTGTAAGCATCTTTCTGAAAGGGCGAGAGGGAGTGAGAATTACACAGCCTCTCACCACTCTGGAATAGAAAGCAGATAAAGAGGCTGTAGCCTGGTGCCATAGTGCCTTAGAGCCAAAACAGTAGCAAGAGGTTTGTTTATTCATTGTTGACTCAATTTGTAGTTGGCTTCTAGTTTCCTCAGTCATCCAGGGAGGTTTTCCTCAGAGCAGGCAGCTTCTCCTTAATTAGCCAAGAAATACAGCTAAGCCTTTAACTATGGCTTTTATCTCAGGGCCCCTCATGTTACACTTTGCCACAGCAAAGCCATAATCTTCAACCACTATCACCAGGGTCTTGCCACCAGGGTCTTGCTCCAGTCTTCCTTAA